CTCACCATCGATCTCACCATCGATCCCATCATCGATCTCTCTCGGCCGGTCTCACTATCCCACACGATCCCACCATGCCGCTCGACACACATGCCGCTCGACACACATGCCGCTCGACACACCATGCTCTTCTGCAGCGCCAAGACTTCATCTTTGGAGAGCTTGACGACGTGCTCGATTGTGGCCGTTGGGCACGGCCCGTCGGTCGCGCTGGCAAGGCCTGGCGCTGGGCAGTCGACAGCTGAGGCGAGCACGAGAGCCGCTTGTGTGTCCAAGCGGTACGCCAACATCTTGTTGAAGTCGCAGTAACCAACCAAATTAATTTTACCATTTGCGTCCCCCGTCGGGTCGGTCAGTAGACACGAGGTCTTTGTCGAGGACATTTTGGAAACCTGATCTGTTAGCGGTTTCTTATCGTCGAAGGATTCCATTGCGGTTGCGCTTTGGCCGCGCACCAGCAGCCACACCCTGTTTGCACCGATGTTGTTGGCACCGTCGCGACAGACTGCCAAACCTTGGAGCGGGCCCTCGACGATGCGACTCACAGGCACCGGCAGGACGACATCGCCGGACACCACGGAGAGGCCGCAACACATACGCAAGGCACTCGTGGAAACCACTGCGTCCAGAGGCGCCATGCCCACCTCCATGATGTACCGCTTGGCCACCCCGTTCTCCTGGCGGAGAATGCCCCGAATGTTGAACCGGTGCTTGGCGCCTGTCAAAGACTGGGCGTCAAGCTGGGCCGCCACCTGGTCAGGAATCGAGCAGTCGTAGAGTGTCGGGGCGGCATCGGTGACCACGTCTACGGTGGCATCCTGAAGACGGCAACTCCGGAGGAAGAGGCGGCCGTCCTGCGTGTACATCGCGTCTCGTTGTATCGGCGCGTCCAGGAGGCACCGGTTGATCTGAAACGTGATGGGCTGGGGGTGGGCAATCGCGTCGGCCAACGCCACAGCGCACGTGGAGTGTGCCGCGGCCTCCATGACACTCGCTAAACCGTTACCGGAAGATGGCACCCACTGGGCGGTGAGCACCTCGGCCGACAGACTGGTGGCGTCCAAGCCTGTCAAAGATTGGGCCTGATCGCTAACGGTGCTGATGTGGGCCCCCGGCCAGATGTTGATCTTCACCTCGCCGTTCTCAAGCGCAGCACTGCGTCCCAGCACAGCGACGCCAGACCCCGGTTGCACGTGGGCGAAGTATTCGTGCGCCTTTTTTTCCACACGGTCACCACGATCTTCCCGCCGCCAGCATCCGTGAACTCCGCTTCGGCCACCATTAGGAGGCTGCCGTTCTTACTGACTTGCTTGGGAGTGGTGATGCCGAGGAACTTGCCGCAGAAGTCGAAGGCCGCCCGGTTGTTTGCACCAGTAGAACTCCTCTTGAGAAGCTCTACGATGCCCTTGATATCCAGTGCTTTCTGCATCCCCTTAGCGGGATGCGCCAACGCTTCCGTGCTGGTGGGCGGGAGTCGGGTCAGTGTCGATGGGTTGCAAAGCAAGACCACCGACTTCAATGGGCCGCCGATGAAGTCCGACTTGGCTCTGGTGTCGAGGCTCGGGGTCCGGAGCTCCCACGCGGAGTCCGCCGTGAATTTCTTGAAGGCTTCGGCCGCCGCAGCCCGATTCTTGAAACTGAAGGGCGCCGCGCCGAGCATGTACTGCGCGGGCGCGTTGGACACCAAAACGCAACTGAACTTTTGCGCCTCCACTTTTTCGTTCCTCGCTGTGGACGTGTAATCAATGACCTTCGGGTCGAGGACCCTCACGTACCACTTGGCGTACTTGGCCGTCTGGGTGTTCATGTTCTTCAGCGTCTCCACATTATTGTCGAGCATTTCGGCTGGCAAAGCCTGGCCCGTCGTAGCGAAGCCGAAGGATGTGCGTGACCGAAGTGGGCGCGTTGGGGGGGAACCCCGCGTGTCGAGTTCAACAGAAGCCTTGAGCCAAAATCCGTGAATGCTACGAGAATTGACGGTGGTGTCCCGGCGATGGTGATGATGTTGTTGATGGTGGTAATGATTATGAGATGGTGATGGTGATGGCGACCCCTAGACTGGACCCCTGAACCGCTGGAGGCCTCGAGCCCCTGGAGCCCTCCACCCCCAGACTGGGCCCTTGAACCCTGGGAGGCCCTGAGCGCCGAGGACCCCCGGGCCCGCAAGGCCCCTGGGACACCCGCACCAAGGCCCCTGGGGCACCCGAGCCCCCCGGACCCCGACCCAACGTGCTCGGGGCCCTGCCCGTGGACGGCGGTCGCGCAAGGCACGACCAACAGCCGCGAGTCCACGTCGTAATCATCATCATCGACATCACCATCAACATCATCATCATCATCAGCAGCATCATCATCATCGTATTCATCATGATCATCAGCATCACCATCATCAGCAGCATCATCATCAATGTCGTCATCATAATCACAAACATCAACACCATGAAGGCCAGCATCGCCATCAGCATCGCACAATCGATCTCACATTCGGTCTCACTACCGATATCACAATCGATCTCGCAATTGACGTCATCATCATCATCAACCTCCTCATCATCATCATCATCAACCTCATCATCATCATCGCCATCATCAACATCATCATCATTATCACCGTCATCGTCATCATCACCATCACCATCATAATCATCATCCTAATCATCATCAACATCATCATCGGGACACCGACGGGACACGGACGGGACACCGGCGGAACACCGGCGGGACACCGCGCCGCCCCGGCCGCCCGGAAGGGAATCATTTCGTCCGGCCGCGCTTCAGCCACACGGGACACCAGCGGGACACCGGCGGGACACCGCGGGCCACCGGCCGCCCGAAAGGGAGTCATTTGGTCCGGCCGCGCTCCAGCCACACGGGACACCAGCGGGACACCGGCGGGTCACCGCGGGCCACCGGCCGAATGGAAGGGAGTCATTTGGTCCGGCCGCGCCTCAGCCACAGGAGACTTTCTCTCGCCCGCCCACGCAGCTTCGCCTCGCCCGCACGGCACGCACGAACACGAAACCGAAATCGATTTCCCGGTAGGGGGGTTCTCCGTTCCACTTCGATCTCACCCCCCAACCTCCGATATATATATATATATATATATATATATACACATAGAAATATACAAATATATAAGGAAAAAAGCGCGTCTCTCTCTCTATATATATATATTAAAAAATGTGGGAAATCGGTTTTGGTTTCGGGTTCGTGTCGTGCGTGCGGGCGATGCGAAGCGAAGCCGCGAACGAATGACCCCGCCGTCGCTAGGGTGATTCCTATGCAGTGGACCGCCCCTCCGCCCCTGGTGGGCGCGCGGTGGCCCCGGGGGTCCCGCCATGGTTGTACCTTGTTGTGTCCCGTTGGTGTCCCGTCGATGTTCCGTCGGCGGTGGGCTGGCGGTGGCCAGGGGTGTCCCGCATTGGTATCGATAGTGACGTCGATAGTAGGATCGATAATGAGATTGCCAGAATGGGATGGATACTGAGATCAAAAGTGAGTTCGACAGCGGGGTCGATTGTGACATTAGTTGTGAGATTGATAGCGAAATCGATTGTTATATTGCTGAAGGAATCGATAGTGAGACCGATCGTGGAATCGTTCGTGAAACTGACAGCGATATCTATAGTGATATCGATCGTGATACCGATAGTAAGATCATGTAAGATCGATAATGAGATCGATCGAGTGTGATCGATCCTGCCAGGTCGATATTGGAACTGACCAAGTGAGATCGAAAGTGGGGGCGATAGTGACATTGCATCGCAGCGCCACGTCGTCATCGCGCGTCGCTAACTCGAGGGCGCGCCACCAGCATTGTCATCACCACACCAATCGTATTTGGCAGCACGTTAAGTTCTTTTCCCCATGACCCCCCAGCATCCTTATCACCCGAAGGGTGGTCGCACAGGTCACAGTGAGGGGGCCGAACGGTCATTCATTGTCCGTGGGTTCGTGGCTGAATGGAGAATTCGTGGTGAGAATTCTGCTTGGTGCGTTGTTGTTGTTTGTTGTCGTCGTCCCATCCGCGACCCACCCGCGACCCACCCCGCGACCCACGCCGCGACCCACTCCGCGGCCCGCCCACCCGCGACCCACCCGCGACCCACTGGCGACCCACCCCACGATCCACTTCGCGACCCACCCGCGACCCACCCCGCGACCCACCCGCGACCCACCCCGCGACCCACCTTCAAAGGAGGAAAACCACCCGGACCCGACAATTGACGTTTACTAAACGGCCTTGGGCGTTTACTAAACAGCCCTGCCCTGCTCGATTCATTCCCTGTGTGCGTTTACGAAACGGCTTCGCTTGTCGGGGGGTGATGATTATGGTGTGGGTTTTCTGCCCTCTACACCCGCGACCCATCAGCGACCCACCCGCGACCCACCCGCGACCTACCCACATTGGTTTAACGAAAAAATCGGCGCCTGCGGCGGGCTCGTTGTACAACTTGTCAAACTTTGGCGCCTGCGGCGGGCTTCTCCAGAGTCTCGCAAACTGGCGATGTCCCCACCGCCCCCATCACTCTTATCCGCATCTGCGGGGGTCTACGTATAAGCTTCTCTCTATCGAGAGAACCACCAGTATCCCCTGCAACCTTTCTCCTCCTCCCTCTCCTCCTCCTCCTCCTCCTCCTCCTCCTCCTCCTCCTCCTCCTCCTCCTCCTCCTCCTCCTGGTCATCACGGTGCGAGGCGCACGGCCTAGGGCCGACTGGACTCGCCCCCCTGGGACGCCGACTCCTCCTGCTCCTCTTGCCCGTCCTCCTCCTCCCTCCTCCTGTGCCGCCACTCTCCCCTCCTAGTCCCACCCCCCTCCCCCTTCCTCCAATCCCACTGCTTTCTCCTCATCTGTTGCTTCCTCCTTCCTCCTATACCCCCTGTTTTGCCTTCCTCCCCTCTTCCTCCTCCTCCTCCTCCTCCTCTTTCTCCGCCTTCTCCTCCTCCCCAGTCCTCCGCCAGCGGCGAAGGCGGCGACGACGGCGGTGGGCGGCGGCAGGTCACCGACAACGAGGACGGGACCTATCAGGTCGTGTACTCCGTGCCGGAGTGGGCGCAGGGACCAGTGTGCGCCCCAGCCTCGCCCAGGCAGAGGGCGAGAGAGAGCAGGCGGAGCAGCAGGCAGCCACGCGATGCGGACACGCACTGCTTCAGAAGCTTCAGGGGCGCCGCGACGCTCGACGCGTGACTTTGGCCCACCAGCTCCCAGAACTCCTTGAGCCGTCCGTTCAGGGTCTTGTCTGCATCCTGGCTTCGCCCCGGATGAAGAAGAGGCGCGGAGTGGCGTCAGGGTGCAACTCCCGCGAGGCTCCATTGAGCATCGGCGCTGGCATGCCCAGGATGGCATGCCAACAGGATGGGCGCTGGCATGCCCAAGGTCGATAGACGGCCTGATCCTGCAGAATTCCGTTCAGCCTGGCTCAATCCAGTCTCATTCGGCCTGATCACGGGCTTCATCCGGGCCAGTTCGGGTAGTACTCCACGAGCGGCGAACCTGATTACCCGCGCCCTCGCGGTCTAGATTTCCCCGGGCACGATCCCGCGGATTCGCGCCCGGTCTCACGGGCCCCCCCCCGCAGGACCGCCGTCTAGTCATTTCCCACCCGCCTTTCCGCCACACTCAGGGGGCGGCCTGACCGACCCCTAGCAAATCGTTCCTTTCCGTGACGCCCCCCTCGCTCGCCCCGAGACGAATGTATGCGGCCGGAGGGGAACTCGAAAGGCGAGGATCACGTTACGGAAGGGGATGGTTTGCTAGGAGTCGGTTAGGCCGCGGCCGACACACTTTTTCCCAACCATCCTGTGGTGTTGGGTCTTCGTTTTGAACAGACAGCGCCCGCAGCCTTCCTCCCGCTGCCCCCCCTCCCTCTCCCCATCATCAGCATCCCCATCATCAGCATCACCGTCACCATCATCATCATCATCATCATCATCATCATCATCATCATCATCATCATCATCATCATCATCAACATCAACATCAACATCAACATCAGCATCGTCATCACCATCATCATCAGTTCGTCACACCGCTCACACGTTTCGTGGCCCCATAGGGAGCTCCACCGAAGGCCACAGTGGCCGCGTTTTCATGCGCCCACCGCACGGCACACCCCTCACACGTTTCGTGGCCCCATAGGGAGTTCCACCGAAGGCCTCCAATTGCTGCGTTCGCGTGCGCCCACCGCACCCATTTCGGCACACCCCTCACACGTTTCGTGCCCCATAGGGAACTCCATCGAAGGCCCCAAATTGCTGCGTTCGCATGCGCCCACCGCACCCCTTTCGGCAACCTCCTCACACGCTCCGTGGCCCCATAGGGAGCTCCACCGAAGGCCCCAGCGGCTGCGTTCGCATGCGCCCACCGCATCCATTTCGGCACACCCTTGTCACATTTCGTGGCCCCATAAGGAACCCCACCGAAGGCTCCAAATTGCTGCGTTCGCATGCGCCCACCGCACCCATGTCGCCACACCGCGTGGCCCCATAGAGAGCTCCACCGAAGGCTCCAGCGGCTGCGTTCGCATGAGCCCACCGCACCCATTTCGGCACACCCCTCTCGCGGTTCGTGGCCCCACAGGGAGCTCCACCGAAGGCCCGAATTGCTGCGTTCGCATGCGCCCACCGCACCGATTTCGGCACACCCCTCACACGTTTCATGGCCCCATAGGGAGCTCCACCGAAGGCCACAGTGGCTGCGTTCACATGCGCCCACCGCACCAATTTCGGCACACCCCTCTCATGTTTCGTGACCCCGCAGGGAGTTCCACCGAAGGCCCTACTTGCTGCGTTCGCGTGCGCCCACCGCACCCATTTCGGCACACCGCTCACACGTTTCGTGGCTCCCATAAGGGGGCCCCGCCGAAGGCCCCAGCGGCTGCATTCGCTTGCGCCGACCGCACCAATTTCGGCACACACACACACATTTCTCACACATTTCGTGGCCCCATAGGGAGCCCCACCGAAGGGTTCAGTGGCTGCGTTCACATGCGCCCACCGCACCCCTTTCGGCAACCTCCTCACACGTTTCGTGGCCCCATAGGGAGCCCCACCGAAGGTCCCAGCGGCTGCGTTCGCTTGCGCCCACCGCACCAATTTCGGCACACACACACACTTCTCACACGCTTCGTGGCCCCATAGGAAACCCCACCAAAGGCCCCAGTGGCTGGGTTCGTATGCGCCCACCGCACCCATGTCGGCACACCCCTCAAACTTTTCGTGACCACATAGAAAGTTCCCTCTCGTTCGTTCAACCTGCCTTGTGGTACTCGCAACTGCATATGGGTGGGTCCTTCTTCAGGCTAATTTTCGCATGCGGTGAGGCGGCGAAATCCGCACCAGCGTAACAGCTAGGTATGGGGCACTAGCTAGCGAACTGGCCGACGTGCAGGGAGGGACAAGGGAGGTCGAGAGGAAGGAGGGGCGCTCAGACGCCGAAGAGTTCGACGACAAGGAGCAGCCGGCGGGCAGCAGCAGCCAGGCGCGCGGGGCCAGCCGCGCCCGACACACACGCAGCACCCGAATCGTCTCAGTTTGGGCAAGTGATGGGTTTGTTTTCCACCACCACCACACTAGACCTTGTCGGTTTAGGGGCGGCGCCAGAGGCGCCCCAGGGAGTGGGGTCCAGCGCCGATCCGAGAAATCCGCGCGGACCTCCGAGTAAATATGTTCATGTCATTGTTCGTTCCCCTACAATACGTGGTCGTTTGTGTTATTCAGTGTTTTGATCGGCGCGGGCCCTCGCCCCCCCCCCCCCTACGGAGCAGATCTTGGCTGTCTTTGGCGCCTGCTTCGGGCAGGTGGGGTCTCCCCCACAGAACGCACTGTTGCCAACAGTGGTTGTAAGCAGAGGTCCGGAGCCAGACCCCCCCCTCCCCCCCGTCCGCCCAGTGTCGAAACGCCGAATCAGAAAACGTTCACTAGTTGATGCGAAGCAGCGAAGATGGGGTCCGCATGGCGCACGGCGCGTGCACCCGCAAGCAATTCGCGCTTGTTGTTGGGAGGGATGGCTGGCCCGCACGCACCATGCACAATACCCGCACCCCGGCCGTCCCGCCTGCCAACAAGCGGTGCAAAGTAATCCGGGTGCGCCCAAACATGGTGCATGTCGTGTCGCACATTGTGCGAATCTGTTTTTTGGGGTTGGGTGTGGTGGGGATGGGGTGGCACTGGCCCTACAAAAACGCAAACACAAGCACAAATACAAACACATACACATACACAGACGCACACACACACACACTTTCGAGCGTTCGCGGGGAAGGGCCTCCTCATGTCGGCTGATGTCGGCCGACGCGCGCGCGCCGATCAGAGAGAAGGAGCCGGCGGGCCCTCACGGGGCAATGGCGCGGCAGACGCAAGGCCTTCACGGGCCGAGGCGGGGCAAGGAATTCGCACGATGGACGAGTGGCGAAACCCGGCCAGAAATAGGAGGGGCTAGTAGTCGTCGTCGTCGTCGTCGTCGTCGTCGTCGTCGTAGTAGTAGTAGTAGTAGTAGTAGTAGTAGTAGTAGTAGTAGTAGTAGTAGTAGTAGTAGTAGTAGTAGTAGTAGTAGTAGTAGTAGTAGTAGTAGTAGTAGTAGTAGTAGTAGTAGTAGTAGTAGTAGTAGTAGTAGTAGTAGTAGTAGTAGTAGTAGTAGTAGTAGTAGTGTAGTAGTAGTAGTAGTAGTAGTAGTAGTTAGTAGTAGTCAGTAGCAGCAGCAGTAGCAGTAGCAGTAGCAGTAGCAGTAGCAGTAGCGTAGCAGGCAGTGTCGTAGTAGTCGTAGTCGTAGTCGTAGTAGTAGTAGTAGTAGTAGTAGTAGTAGTAGTAGTAGGTGTAGTAGTAGTAGTAGTAGTAGTAGTAGTAGTAGTAGTAGTAGTAGTAGTAGTAGTAGTAGTAGTAGTAGTAGTAGTAGTAGTATAGTAGTAGTAGTAGTAGTAGTAGTAGTCGTAGTCGTAGTAGTAGTAGTAGTAGTAGTAGTAGTAGTAGTCGTCGTCGTAGTAGGAGTAGTAGTAGTAGTAGTAGTAGTAGTAGTAGTATAGTAGTAGTAGTAGTAGTAGTAGTAGTAGTAGTAGTAGTAGTAGTAGTAGTAGTAGTAGTACTAGTAGTAGTAGTAGTAGTAGTAGTAGTTGTTGTTGTTGTTGTTGTAGTAGTAGTAGTAGTAGTAGTAGTTGAAGTAGTAGCTGTGGTAATGACCGCAGTAATAGGAGTAGTTGCACCGTTTGTAGGAGTAGTCGTTGTTGTAGTAGTAGGAGGCGTAGCAGAAGAACTACAAACATATAAGCACAGGTACGATTATTTCTGGCAAAAGGTACAAGTAGTAGTCGAAGAAGTAGGAGTAGTAGTCGTAGCAGCAATAGTAGCTGCAAACATAGTAGTAGTAGTCGTAGTAGAAGTAGTAGTAGTAGTAGTAGTAGTAGTAGTAGTAGTAGGAGTAGTAGTAGTAGTAGTAGTAGTAGTAGTAGTAGTAGTAGTAGTAGTGGTAGTAGTAGTAGTAGTTGTAGTAGTAGTAGTAGTAGTAGTAGTAGTAGTAGCTGCCGCAGTATTTATTTGCATTAGCAGTCGTGAAACGAGCAGAGAGAGTAGTACTCACGGAAGTAGTAGTCATAATAATAACAACATAATACTACTAATAGTAATACGAATGTTAATAATAATACTACGAATGATAAACATCATACTAATAATATCAACCACTGCTGTTGTTAGATCTGAGGGAGTGTTGCTCAGAACCTGGCGGACGGTGGCGGCCATGAAAGATTCAGCACTGGGAACCCGAATGTCATTCCTCAAGCGGCTATGGCACGGTGCCAGATTTGCTGAACTGCTTGAGGTTGAAAACTCACACATCCGACCTGCGAGTGCTAACTTGTGATTATGCGGCTGGCCAGGAGTTTTTCCCAACCATCCTGTGGTGATGAGTCTTCGTTTTGAAGAGACACTGCCCCGCGTCACTCCTCCTCTCCTATCCTCCTCCCCGTCCCCCTCCCTCCTCCAAGAGGAGCGCCGCCCTCTCTCCTCTCCTCTCCTTTCACCCCTCACACGTCTCGTGGCCCCACAAGGAGCCTCACCGACCGCCCCTGTGGCTGCGTTCGCATGCGCCCACCGCGCCCATTTCGGCACACCCCTCACACGTTTCGTGGCCCCACGGGGAACCCCTAACGAAGGCCCAAGTGGCTGCGTTCGCATGCGCCCACCGCACCCATGCCGGCACACCTCTTACATGGATCGTGGCCCCATAGGGAGCTCCACCGAAGGCCCCCGTGGCTGCGTTCACATGCGCCCACCGCGCCCATGTCGGCACACCCCTCACACGTGTCGTGACCCCACAGGGAGCTCCACCGAAGGCCACAATGGCTGCGTTCGTAGCGCCCACCGCACCCATTTCGGTATACTCCTTACACGTCGTTTCGTGGCCCCATAGGGAACTCCACCGAAGGCCCCAGTGGCTGCGTTTATCATGCGCCCACCGCACCCTTCGGCACACCTCTCACACGTTTCGTAGCCTCACAGGGAGCTCCACCGAAGGCCCCAGTGGTTGCGTTCGCATGCGCCCGCCGCACCCATTTCGGCACACCCATCACACGTTTCGTGGCCTCACAGGGACCCCCACCGAAGGCCCGTGTGGCTGCGTCCGCATGCGCCCACCGCATCCATTTCGGCACACCTCTTACATGGATCGTGGCCCCATAGGGAGCTCCACCGAAGGCCCCCGTGGCTGCGTTCACATGCGCCCACCGCGCCCATGTCGGCACACCCCTCACACGTGTCGTGACCCCACAGGGAGCTCCACCGAAGGCCACAATGGCTGCGTTCGTAGCGCCCACCGCACCCATTTCGGTATACTCCTTACACGTCGTTTCGTGGCCCCACAGGGAACCCCAACGAAGGCCACAGTGGCTGCGTTCGCACCGCGCGCATTTCGGCACACCCCTCACACCTTTCGTGACCCCACAGGGAGTTCCACCGAAGGCCCTAGTGGTTGCGTTCGCATGCGCCCACCGCACCCATTTCGGTATGCCCCTCACACGTTTCGTGCGGCACACTTCTTTCACGCTTCGTGGCCCCACAGGGAACTCCTCCGACGGCCCCGGCACAGCCCTCATGCGTTTCGTGGCCCCTTAGGGATGCGGTACGCACAGCTGCATATGGTTGGGTCCTTCGCCAGGATACCGTTTTTTGTTGTGTGTGTGCATGTGCGCGTGCACTTCTGGAGGTCGAGACATGTTTCGTGGGGTTCTGGTTTTCATCCCTGCCTCGTCGCACCCGCGACCCTCACTCGTCACCTCCCCTCCTTCTCCTCCTTCTCCTTCTCGCACAGCGCAGCACCGCTCAGCACAGCACAGCTTAGCTCAGCACAGCTCAGCACAGCACAGCTCAGCACAGCATTGCACAGCACATCGTAGCACCTCATCACAGCTCAGCACAGAACAGCACAGCACAGAACAGCACGACTGTCCGCCAGGGCACAGCAGGAGTGGGTTTTTGTCGACACCATAGGGGGTGCGCAGGGGGTGGTCCCTGCTGAGGGCGGCGTCTACACGGGCCATGGCGCACGGCACAGCAGGCGTGGCACTTTCTGGGCACCATAGGGGGTGCGCAGCAGGTGGTCTCTCAGCGCGGCCGCTATCCACGGCACTGTCGCAAAGCCTAGCAGACGTGGCCACTTCTGGACACCATAGGGGGTTCCCAGGGGGCGGCCTCTCAGCGCGGCCGCTATCCACGACACTGTCGCAAAGCCCAGCCGGCGTGGCACGTTGTGGACACCATAGGGGGTGCGCAGGGGATGGTCTCTCAGCGCGGCCGCTATCCACGACACTGTCGCAAAGCCTAGCAGGCGTGGCACGTTCTGGACACCATAGGGGGTGCGCAGGGGGTGGTCCTCTCAGCGCGGCCGCTATCCACGACACTGCCGCAAAAGCCTCGGGGAGCCTCTCGGGGGTCTCGTGGGAGCCTCTTTGAGGCCCTTGGACGCTTCTTGGGGCCTCCTGGGCGCCTCTTGGGGCGCTTATGGGAGCCTTGAGGACGCTCAAGGAGCCATGTTGGAGGATATCGATCCAAAAAGGGAGGAGCTTCAATTAGCCTCGCCCTTGTAAAGTGCTTAAAATCGCCTCTTGGACCCCTCTTGGAGCGCTCTTGAGACGCTCTTGGGGCCGTCTTGGGGCCCTCTTGGGCCGTCTTGGAGCGATCTTGAGGCCTCGGAAGGCCATCGAAAGCAAAAAGGCGAGACGGCCAAATTCATTGATTTCGCGTCGGTTTGAGAAGGATGTTTGCCTCTTGGGGGCCTCCGTGGGAGTCTTCGTGACCACTTGGAGTCGTCTTGGAGCGGTCTTGCGGCATCTTGGAGCATCTTGGGAGCCATCTTGAGCCATCTTGGGCCATCTTGAGTCATCTTGGAGGTCATCTTGGGCTCTCCGAGGCCCTCTTGGAGCCATCTTGGGCCATCTTGGACGCTCCAATGGGCCGCGGCACCGCCCGTCCAGGTCCAAGGGAAGGGGGAGGGGGAGGGGTTAACCCCTCCCCGAAGGGGAAGAAGGGGGTTGGAAGAGGAACCAGGAACCGCCCTAGACCACCTACGCCCAGAGGGCTGGCGGGATTCCGTTGGTTATTCTGGCGTGCGGTGTCAGGAAGCGCTGGAGGGGGGGCGGGGGGGGGGGGGGCGCATCCTCCCGGGGTCAGGGGCTCCGGGACCACACACATGTCCACGAAGGACCCCCCGAGCACCAACTCATTATACCTCCTGGGCCTTCGCCTGCCAGCCTTCGCCCCCCCCCTGTGCGCGATGAGGTGAAGATCGAGGTGCTGCTCGACGGCGTCCGCTTGAGAGACTCGCCGGTCGTCCCGCAGGCTGGGCTGCCTCTCTGCGGCGCGGCGGGCGCGTCGGCACGAGGCCTGGCTGATGACCTGGACGACTGCAGGGGCTCGATGCCTGCTATTGGGAGCCGTGGGCGGCAACGTTGGAGCCAGCGTTTCCTGCATTCGGATTGCAGTTGGACCGCTCTTTACCCTCCCTTCTGCTCCTCCTCGCCCCTCCTGTTCCTCCTCCCCATCCTCGTTCTTCTCGTCTCCCTTGCGATGGGGCGAGCCAGGCCCAAATGCGGTCCCCAATCTGGTCCCAATCCAGTCCAAATCAGGGCTAAATCGTACGGCGCGGGCGGCCGCGCAGGCTTCCATGGGACGGGCACCAAATGGGGATATTCTTGAGCAGTGGGAGGAGGAATATGTGAGGCACCCGTGGCTTACGTGTCTGCGCTTGATTCGCGCTCGCCTTGATGTTGACCTGCCTTCTCCCACTTTAGTCATCGCTGAACCCATGCAGCGCCCATCACGTTGATCTCATGTGACCAAGTGGCCGCGGGGAATCGCATGGCGTTGAAAAGTCACGTTCCTCGGCTAATTGGGCTTGCAACGCGACGACGTGTTTTACTACCCGTTTGACCGTGCCTCGATCGCGAGAGAACTTCTTGGCAATGCTTCTTCTCTGAGCCATGTACGTTGGATTCAGGGCACCGCGTGCAAGTGCGAGAATAGATGAACTGGGCATGAAGTCCTCGCTGCCTCGCTCTGGCACGCGTGCCCGCCAGTCCCTGCGCACCTGCTCGTTCTGCTCCTGGTGGCTCCGCGTTCGGCGACGCGCCTGGAGATGGCTGGCTCCCACGTCGGTCCCAGAGTGGTGGAGGAGAGGATTCGGTCGCTGGAGGAGGCGGGCGTCTTGTGGCCCGAGGGGTTGGAAAGGAAGGCGGCGGTGGAGCACGCTTGTGATCTTGGGATCGTGCCAAGCACCACGGCCAACCTCGTTGCGCTAAATCCAACCGCGGACCAAACCTTCGGGTCGGTGTTGAGGGTCGCCGCGGCGATCGCGGAGGCCACACATCGGGGCAAGGGTTTTGTCAATGCTGGCATTCCCCTCCCCGCCCCCCCCATACACTGCGATGTTGACGTGGCTCCTCATGAACAAACAGCGTCAGGGAAGTGCGAATGTATGTCTTGCATGGGCGGTCATGTTACTCTCCACTCGTTTAAATTAGATATCAGATTGCGACCTAGTTTAGCCGAGATCTATTTTCACCGAGTCTAGTTTTACCGAGCCGGGACTCGAATACTAAACACAACGTTCTGTATGTCTGGGGTCAGACCCGGGTCAGTCCGAGGTCACTCCAGGGTCCGAAGTCGGTCCGGGGTCAGTTAGGGGTAGGTCGGCCCGGGGTCAGTCCCTGGTCGGTCCGGGGTCCGTCCGGGGTTAGTCCGGGGTCAGTCCGGGGTCAGTCCGGGGTCAGTCCGGGGTCAGTCCGGGGCCAGTCCGGGGTCAGTCCGGGGTCAGGCCGGGGTCAGTCCGGGGTCGGTCCAGGGTCAGTCCGCGGAGCCAGTCCGGGGTCAGTCCGGGGTCAGTCCGGGGTCAGTCCGTCCGTTGTCAGTCCGTCCGGGGTCAGTCCAGGGTCGGTCCGGGGTCAGTCCGGGGTTAGTCCGAGGTCAGTCCGGGGTCAGTCTGGGGTCAGTCCGGGGTCAGTCCGGGGTCAGTCTGGGGTCAGTCCGGGGTCAGTCCGGTCAGTCCGGGGTCAGTCGGGTCAGTCCGGGTCAGTCCGGGGTCAGTCCGGGCCAGTCAGTCCGGGGTCAGTCCGGGGTCAGTCCGGGATCAGTCCGGGTCAGTCCGGGGTCAGTCCGGGGTCAGTCCGGGGTCGGTCCGGGGCGGTCCGGGGTCGGTCCGGGGTCGGTCCGGGGTCAGTCCGGGGTCAGTCCGGGGTCAGTCCGGGGTCAGTCCGGGGTCAGTCCGGGGTCAGTCCGGGGTCCAGTCCGGAGTCCAGTCCGGGGTCAGTCCGGGGTCAGTCCGGGGTCAGTCCCGGGCCAAGGCCGGGGTCAGTCCGGGGTCAGTCCGGGGTCAGTCCGGGGTCAGTCCGGTGTCAGTCCGGGGTCGGTCCGGGGTCAGTCCGGGGTTAGTCCGAGGTCAGTCCGGGGTCAGTCCGGGGTCAGTCTGGGGTCAGTCCGGGGTCAGTCCGGGGTCAGTCCGGGGTCAGTCCGGGGTCAGTCCGGGGTCAGTCCGGGGTCAGTCCGGGGTCAGTCCGGGGTCAGTCCGGGCCAAGGCCGGGGTCAGTCCGGGGTCAGTCCGGGGTCAGTCCGGGGTCAGTCCGGGGTCAGTCCGGGGTCACTTTGATCGTCGGGTGGGTGTAAGTGCGGTAAGAGCGTTGTATATCCGATGAAATCGTTTCAACGAAGATGTATGTAGGTTCATGCTAGTTGACCTCACATATTCAACATATATAAAATATCGAACTTCGCATTCATCTACTTAACGTTTTGTTAGATAAGTATATTCAACAACATACCATACATACTACTCACAGAACCATCCATCTTATCAACTGAGCTATCGGGTACCACTGCCAAGATATATCGATACATACACCTCAACATACCCAACTTAGTAGCTAAGTCAGCTAAGTCGATGTGGGCTGTCCGATTCGGTTAACCCGAAATTTGCATAACTTTCTATGTTTTGCATGTTTGTTCTTGATATTGCTATGTTTCGGGAAAAAACCACAAAAAACGTTTTAACAACTACAACACAACAGTTTTTCAGGACAGGGCGCCGCAGGTCGACGCGCCGAGCCGCCCTCAGGACGCCTGCGGGGCGCGGAGGGGAAGGGGGGAGAGGGAGAGGGGGGGGGATCAACTATTCTTCAAACTGCCTCCCCTCGGCGGCCATCACCGCCTCCCCTCTCCTCTCCTCGTTGTCGGCGGCCAGCCCGCCCCCGCTCCCTCCTGCCGCCTTCCCTCCCCGAGCCCGCCTTCCTTCTTCGGCGGCATATCCGCCCCTCCCTCCTGCACCTCTCTATCGAAGGGCGGCGCATCCGCCAGCGGCATATCCGCTCTCGCATGCGCTCGTTTTTTCCTTTTTCACGTGATGGCGAGCACATAGCCATCGTCCTGTAGTCGCCGATAAGCCGCCCAGGCTGGCGGGATCAGCTCGGCGGGCATCACGGCGACGTCGCCGCGCGGCCGCCACAGGGACGCGCCTGGGCATGGCGCGCGCACCCATTCCAGGGTCTCCACCAGCAGGTAGCTGGCGGCGCCAGCCTGCGCGCAGCAATGCACGATGTACGCCTCGCCGTCGCCCAGGAGAAAATCCTGAGGGCAGCAGCGCCTCGATTTTTTGGGGGGGCACACGCATGTGCACCCCTAAATACCAAGGTTGGTTGCGCCGTCTGTCCTGGCTGCCGTACATCTGGCCGTCGATGGACGCCTCTCTGCTGGTCCACGTTTCAGCCCTGCGGAGGGGTTCCTCCTCCTCCTCCTCCTCCTCCTCCTCCTCCTCCTGGCGGCGAGCCGCCTCGGCGGCAAACCGCCTTCCCCTCTCCCAGCCCATCTTCCTCCACAAAGGGCATGCAAGGTTGCGCCCCGAGTGCCCGAACGTACTGTCCAGCTCTGGCGTGCGCCACGCTTTGGCGCGGGAGCGCGGCGCCTCCTTCGCTTCCTCCAGGAAGCAGGCGAGCATCGCCGTCAAGGCCGACCGCTCGAAATTCTCAGGGTTGTCGATCTCCTGCGACCTGGACCGAAGCAGGTTGTGCTTCCGCTCGAGTACGAAGGCGTCCAACCAGATGCCGTCCTCCGCAGGCTGGTCGGGGACGTGCCACAAATAATGATGCTTCGGCTTGATCAGGGCTGGCCCGTGCGCGGCTTTGTGCAGCGCCAAGGAAATCGAAACGGCCTTGGTCCAGACAGCTATCAAATTCGGCACGGCGCCGATCCTCAGGACGTAGCCGAACCGCCTGCCACCTAAGCGCTCGAGGATGCGCGCGGGCCGACGCGGTGCATCCTCGAACGCGCAGGCCAGCGTTTGCGTTTCAGCTGCGGCCGCATGTCCTTTTGCCCTGCATGTACAATTCGAGCATCTTCGCCATCGCCTCGAACGACCGCGCCGCAGCGTTCGCCATGCCGCTGGGACGCAGCTCTGTGTGCACCCAATGACGAATCAAAGGGAACACGGCCAAGCAATCCGACGCCTTGCCCACGAAGTGCGACGCCTTGCAGGTCGCTTTCTTCCGAGCCACGCTGAACAGAAACGCTGGCGGTTTCCTGCCGCGTCTGCCAGTCCGCCACGCCGAGCAGCGATCCCGCCACGTTCCCCACGCGTCGGGGATGACATCCCTCACCGCCTTGAGGAGCGCAAAGATTTCGACCTGCAAGGTCCCGCCGCTGGCCAGCATGGTATGCATGGGGTCCCTCACGTATGTGCTCGGCGGCGCCACCGTCCGCAACGCCTGGCACGCCACCAGAGAACGGTCATCCAGAGTGATGCCCATTGCCGTCTCCTTCGGGGGCCGGAACATCAGAAGGGAAGGAAGGGGGGGACATCAGAAGGGGATCGATGGAAATGTTTTCCTCCCTGGCTCCAGTCTCTCGATGTTCGCTCTGGTTGTCGTGTCCCGCAGCGACGCCAAATCATCATATTGCTGCAAAAACTCGTCTGACGACAGCGGGTCAAAGCGCGACGAGTCAGCGCACCAGAGAGGCACGAGGTAATCATCGTCGTCGTAGTCTGCAAGACATTCCGCCTGATCCAGCACAACGTTCTTGCATTGCAAGCACGGTCTCAGACCTGCAGCGCCCTTGGTGCAGAATGTCTCTTTTCCAGCCGCCTCGTCTGCAATCAAGCGGTGGAACTTGGCGAAAAAGTGCACGCCGCCGATTGGCGCACCGTGCTCCGACAGACTCTCTGGGCCCAGGAACAGCGCGCGAAGCAATGCCCGCGCCGCGGCCGAGCCGCCGATGCTCTTCTTCACGACGACGCGCAAGGTGCCGATCGGCAGCCACGCAACCTCCTTCTGCAAGAAGGATCCGAACTCGAGGAAACTCGCATACACCGCGAGCTGATTCCGACGATTATCTATCTTCAAGGCGTTGCCCACGCCAATGTCGTCGTAGTACAGCAAAAGCCTCCACGGCCGATCGCGCGACACAGGGAAACGGCGCATCGCTTCCCAAAACATTGAACTCCAGAGAGGGCAGTCCGACAGGAGCCTCGGCATCAGCCGATGCGGCAGCGCCACGCTCCATCGGAAAGGCGTGCCGATCTTGGGCTGCAGCCGCACTGCGCTGATGAGATCGGCCACGGATGCCGTCTGCGATCGCTGCATGGCCCGAGCGCTCACGTCTATAGCATCGCCCGCGTCGTCGCCATGGCCAAGCGCAGTCACGATTCGCTCGAGCAAAGCCGCGGACACGCCGCGCAGGGCCAGACACTGTTGCAGTCGAGCCCGCTGCTCCACCTGCTTGTCCACCTGCAGGGCGCGTTTCCCCATTGCGCCGACGCCCGCGCGCGGGAGGGGCGGGGGCGGGGGGCAGCGCGAGGCCCAGCGCGGTTGAGAAAAACGAATTGCAGCCAGAGAGACGGAAGTGGAGGCGGGAATGGATCGCGGGGCGGAGTAGCCGCCGAAGGGCATGGCGGTGTAGCCGCCTGAAGGGTCGGGAGGGGCGGCGTAGCCGCCGAAGAGCGTGGGGGCGAGGGGGCATGGGGGGAGGGGGGAGGGGGGAAGGGGGTGGGTGGGGGAGATTGCGGAGGCGCGAAGTGAGCGTAGCAACGGAACTTGCAAGGGAGATTTCTTTTTCTCGCACGCAATTTCGAGCTTGAGTTTCAAGCTCGGGTTCCAAGCCGCCAGCGCTCGGAGACGGGCGCGGCTGGCGGCTCGAGCTCGGGACGGGCGCAGCGCGGGACGGGCGCGGCGGCGGCTGGCGGCTCTTAGTGCGGGTGCGCGTGCTGCCTCCAA